ATGTGTGAAATATTACTCTGAATCGTTTAAATGCTGGTCAGCGTTCCGAAAAACTATGGTAGCAAAATATAATACAATAAAGTACGAAAACTATAATTTAATTTAATAATCTAATACAAGAATATATATATGTTTGAAAGTATATACCATTAATCTACTACGATCTTCACGTTCGAAATAAAATATTAATGAATTTAATCTTTTCCATTTTCATTCTTGTATCTCATATACGTATGATGAAAATACGTATTGTGAATTAAATTTTAAATATACATAAATTATGCACCAGTTATGTTTCCCAGAATGAATAAAAGGTTGCCAACGTTTCCGTGAAAATTCATCAAAATTCATCACTGTCCATTAATAATCGTGACGTTCTGTGCTATCTTTGACGTTCTTGCAATCAACAACCTGCACAGAAAAAATCAAAAAGTCAGAACAAATGCATCAGCCTAAAGGCAAAACTGAAATCAACTTCGAATTCTATTAAAAAAGCGTATGAGACAAACTGCCGTACGAGTGAAATCGACGATTGAAGAAAAATGGCCGATTAATCGTTAAATGCACACGTATTAATTAAATAACATTATTAATGAGGTATAAATGGAAATAAAAGAGTGTCAAAGGAAACGACGCCATCGAAGGGACGCCACTGATAGGTTAGAAAATATTACGTGCCTAATAATATATTTGTACATATTGTCGTCACGAGATTCAACAGCCGAATGTCTCTCCGCGACACATTTCGTCAAGCAATTGAGAAAGTGGTAGGGGATGGGACGATCTTTCACGAACAGGTTCGAGAATTAAGACGAACAGTGTGTCGTGTTGTTGTTTTGAATTTCGAATTTCGAGGCCTTCTACGCTTGACTTTATTTCAAAGGAAAATTTTATTACATTAAGCCGTAAAACTATTATTTTAAACTATTAAATATGTACATTTTCAATAAATTATTGTTGAATTTAGTATTAGAATTGTTAAGAATTGCACATTAAATAATCAACAAATAAATAGAAAAAGTTATAATATAAATGTGTGTGTAAAAGCATATAATGTGTGTGTGTGTGTGTAACAATGAATTAATCAAACAAGATTGAAATTAAATTTTGGTATAAAATTATAAATAACTTTTAGTATGTTCTATTTAAGTATCTATATGCTATTACTTCTTCAATTGAAAATTAATGCAATAATTATTGGGTTAAGTCTTACCTTAAGTTGAAGCAGAGAATGCACGTTTTATCTCAGAAATACAAAACACAAACACAAATCTAACAGCTATTGATTTAAATTTCTATCCAAGAATTTCTGAATGATACTTCTTTCTGAATGATTTTTCTGGATAATACTTCCTTCTTTACGGACAAAGTGTGTCTCCTTCCGCCATTGTTTGCGCTTTAAAATCGACCGTGAGAAATATCGATATATTCGAGAATCGCTGGAAGTAGATTGCGTATTTCACCGTTGGCGCTGTAATCGCACATTTAGCACGAAATGCTAACTTGGAATAAAAAATGAAAAATTCTGGTCTAAATCAAATATACAAAATTTATGAGAAATTCTTAAAGAAGAATGGAAATATTCATACATTAGATGAAAAATTGTCGATTAAACTAATTAAAATAATTTCGTCAGAAAGTAAAACAATTAACTTGATTTTATTTTAAAGAGTGAAGTCTTCATTTTAACAATCTTGAGTTTCGCTCAAAGATATTGATTTTTACATCATCCAGCAAGTGTAAGAGTAAAAATACTTTTCTTCTCGAGAATTATAAAAATTCAAATGTCGATGAAAAGAAGTTTTTCTACCATTGAAGAATTTTTTTCACGAGCAGATCAGTCATGATCTTAAAGATCGAAATCTCTCCTTTACAATGAACTCTTAAAACTAGTACGATTTTTTTTTCTCCATTTTATTAAACTCTAAGTATTAGAGTTGAACATTTTGTCGTTTAACCCTAATAAAAACCGAATTCAGTGAAACGAGGAAAAAAATAGCAGGTTTCAAGGGCTCATTGTAAATTTTTAAATTTTAAATTTTAAAAATTTTTAAAAATTTCTACTGAAGTAAAAATAAGAAAATGTATAAATTTAATCAGAAATTTGATGAACAAATAAAAGTGATAATACTCGTTATAATCTAGTTATAAATACTTCGTCATTAATCGAGCTTCCGTTATCAATGAAATCGATCTTGTCTCATACTGTTAGAAACAATTAATAAAATTAGAAACGATTAAAAACGACAGATAACAATTGATAAAATAGATCATCAAATCCTTAATTACGAAAATAACCAAATAGAGTTTATAATTAGATTGCGAAAACGTATGAATTTGTTGTTCTAGAATTAATTGGAGAATCGGCAATCGAGAGGCTTTCAATTATTCATGGTAATGTCACCGATCGATGAATTAATCGAGATCCATTATCTTTGATCCCTGTTTTATCGATCAACATTTTCGCGTATCACATTAAACAATGAAATTTCACGTGACTGCTAAACGTTTGCAAATTTATTCAGTCTACAGAAAATTAATCGACGACCGTATCAACAACATGAAACAATTTAATTTTCTGTTCTCCTTTTCGATTTATCTCGTGTGAACCAGATATAAATGCTGTAAATGCTGTTGATGAGATACAGTGAATTTCTTTGAGAGAGTGTTTTATAATTGATTTGTGAATCATTGTGAGAGGTACTCATTGCATTAAATTTTCAGTAAATAATGGATTTAATTTTTTGTAAATATTATATATTACATTCTCACTCAATTTTTAAGTATTATAAAGACAGAATTTTAAGTAAAATTAATTTGAGTTTCTACAGATAATTATTATTATAGAATACTTGAAGATACAGATTTTATATTTTTAAAATAATTCTTAATATTATTAAGTATTGTACATTATTTTCTCCAGCATTTATTTTAATTCGTACATTACTCTATCAAATTCTTTTCCTTTAAAATATATGTATTTATTTTTGTACATCAAATACTTCTTAAACTTTTATATTTCAGTAATTCAAATATTAATTTTTCAAGAATATTGATACCTAAATTTTTATATTCTACTTTCTCCTACTAAATTTTTTTTAGACTTAAACGTTGATTCTACATTTTAAAAATAATTCTTTCCATTATTGAACATCATGTTTTATTAAAATTTTATGTCGTACAATACGTCGTCCATAATTGCTAATCGGAGAAAAAAGCTCACGAGCCCAAAATTAGAACTATCTAATTTTACCTTGAATTAAGATCGTCGTTTGAAAACTTCAGAGAAAGAGCACAAAAAACCAGATTGCACTGAAAAGTTTCTCGACCTTAATTTTCTGGAATGCTGGCTGCCAAACGAAGGAAAAAATTGACAAGATGAACATGGAGGATGATTCAAGAGGGTAGGATTTTTATTACCTATCCAAAGAGGGGTGTGAAATTCATCGAACGATCACGGAGATCTCGGTTTCTCGTTTTCTTGATTCCAGCAACGTCTTCCTGGCACTCTTAATGCAATATCACAGATGACGACGAAATTACATTTCTCGTCGCGTTCGTATCAAAATAACAGGTAATATATCGAACTTTCCTTCATCCGTTGAAAGTCGTCTCGAAAATTCGTTCGAATCACGTCAGAATCCGATACGTGTAGTCAGCGATTCCTTAATTTAAAATAACATTTTCCTAACCAAATAATGATACATATTAGGAGACGTAAACGTGATTTTTTTTTTTATGTGCTTCGTGTACTTTTGAAAAGAATGGAATTCAGTATACTTCTTTATCTTTATTTATTATGTGCGTGATAATATTCGAAACTGTGCTAAACATTTCTTCAAATAACGAGCAATTCTGAAGATAATTATTATACATTTATATATTAAATAATTAATTTAAATCGAACTCTGAAAATTAAACTAAACTCTTAAATTAAACTCATCCTGTCCTAATTTTGGCAATTGTCATTATTTTTAATTGGAACACGCAAAGCATCTTCCACATCTGAAACATTTTTTCCGAGTAACGAACAGTTCTGAAGATAAATGCATTTATGTATATTAATACAGTTACAGTGGTTTTAACAATTGCATTTGAATCTACTTTTTTTGCATTAAAACACATTAAAGAATTCACATTTTTTACTTTCTGTTCTTGGATGAAATTCTCGAAGACAAAAGTTTAAATAAATTTGGCACGATTCCTCGTGTTCTATCTGCTTAATTAAGTCAGACGGAGAGTCGTCGTAAATTGTTCGTCCTTGAAATTCGAGCCGTCAGGCTTTCCGCAAATCGATCTCGTTAATGTCTATACTATCTTGGTATGCTGAATCCTTTTGGATTAGCTTAGATGACCTCAGGCGCTTTGAACTCACAAACCAACCCCAAGTTCCGGCGAAGTAATTTCCTGTCACCATCCCTCTCGCATAATACTCGCAAACAAAGTTCACCTTTTAAAGATTGTCACCAACTCTTTTCAAAGAATGTTGAAGTAAAGTTTTAATGTAGGTGAAATATGGAAGATTGGATCATGAGAATTTTTGACGATAAAACGATACATACATTGTGGATAAAAGATTCGTGAAAATTGTAAATGAAAGTTTAATGAATTTGATAAATGAGAAAGTTTTTGGAGAAATTTCTGTTATACTAAATATATTTTGCCATATATGAGATACGTTTCAACTATCCAATAAAGTCAGTTGACAAATTCGATAAACAAATTCTTTTAAAAAATATTCTCTAAATTTAAAATAAAAATACTTAATACTTTCTGGAAGAAAAATGAAATTCCTATATAATTCCAATACAATAATAATTCAATTTTGAGTGATAGTAAAGAGAATTATTAAGTTTCGTGTTGTTTTATTAATCTTGAGAGATTATGTAATGCAAAGTAAACTTTTGACTGAAATTTCTGAATTTTCATTACAAATCGTACAAAGCTTATGATTAAGTTTCGTACACTTTTACGTTGAGAAGAAATTGTGTAAACTTATAATGGCGTATTTTGAAGTGAAAATATATTACTTCCAAGATGTGAAAAATTGCACATATCAAACTTCGTGTCATTAACGTAACGTCAAAAAATTGTTACGTGTATTATATAGTAATTATACACATATAGTGAAATTTAAAGAGTTTTCTGAGACAAGATATCAAACTTTGTATCTTTTCATAGCAAGATGATTTCTTTGTGAAAGTATAATATCACTGAACATTGAGAACATTTACGTTTTACATTGCTTAATTTTAAAACTTCAAATTTAATTAAATTTTATTATTATTATTCTCTATCAAAGAGAATATAAATTACAAAAAAAGATTAAGATAAATTTTTGTGGTAGAATACAAATTACTATATGCAGTTTACGATATCATTCGAGAGTTAAAAATTATGATCTTCAAAAATTCACAATAAATAGATAATTTAATAATATAATTTACATAGTTTGATAGTTTCTTAATGAAATTCCAAACTTGTCTTCCAGAAACTCATGTAATTTCGTTCGATAACTAACTCAAGGCGTTTATTCTAAGTTTCATTAATCCTTAATAAAGACGTTCAAAATCTATTTTCGTAAAAACGAGATGTGCAACGAACGAATTTTCTTTCACACTTTTGACTTATTTTTGTACATAGAACACCCTTATGTGGATTATTATGTTCTATTTAATTATTATGTTCTAAATTAACCAGATTTAAATGTACCTAAAATTTCAAACTCGATTCTGTCAAAGATAAAATTTGAAATGAAAAAATTTTATCGCTTCTTTTAGACTTATTTTTATACGCAGAGTTATGATTCTACAGGGACATTCCGTATAATTCGATGCAAATTCAAGAAAGTCGAGATTTCCAACTTCTTTGATTATTCTTTCTCAATCATCATTACTAATTTCTTAAATTACTTTTTAGCTGAATCTTTTTATTGATCAATTATTTGTTGACTTATTTCTGACGCCACCATAGCATATCAAATTTATTAAACTTCTCACGCGTATCATACGAAGAACCTCATTTCCCGAATCTTTTGATCGTATAAATCATTCCTCGTCACGGAGATTACAAACACAAATTTACATCAATAATTCACATAAATATTCATCGACGAAAATTTATATTAATAACTTCTAAATTAAAATCTCTCGATTCTTTATCGGTTGTTTGTAATTCATTAAGAGCGAACGTTGTGTAAACAACATTTTATTTGCAATTATTTTCAGTGCTTTTTTTCCAGTGAATTTATATTATTAATAACCCCCATATAGTACCATTGAATTACTAATATAAGATAAAATTTTATCAACGTTTTGGATATTCAATTTGATATTGAATCTTATATTCTTTGAGACTAACAATAAAATGAAATTAAATTAAATAACTCAAATTTAAACTGTTATAATGTAAGCTACTCAATGATTGTTGAAAAATTCCACTTTTGTCTTCCTACTAGTTCGGATATTGGAGATTCTATAATATCTTGAACTTGGAATATTGCTACTAACTAAGAAATCATCATTTATTTACATGAAGAAATCACTATTTTATTGCAGTAATATAACGCTTTATAGATATTGTAATATTAAAATAAAAATTTGAGTAATAGTCCTGTTGCATTTATTTTTTCACTATTGATATTAATTATTTACCACAGCGGGAGTAAATTAAATATAAAAAAAATGAGGACAGATTAATTTTATAAATTTAATTTGCAAAACAATTGATATCTCTCGTTTTCAAAATTACTTCAGATACAAAATACCGGATCGTGCTTATTGAACTTTCGATTTTCCCTGACGGATGTGTTAGAGGGTGACATTTCACGTCTTCAAGATACATTTCCGGCAAGATTTCCAAAGAAGGGGAAAGGAAAAGCTGAAAAACAGACGAGCAACGAAGGTGGAATTCGACGACAATCTTCGGCCGAATGAGGAACTGGCGATATTCAGTGGAAATACGACGATCCGAGAAACGTGACAAATTTCCCTTTTGGAATGTCGACGAAAACATGCAGTTTTACTAGTCCCAGAAAGAAAGACGGTATTTTTCAGTGTGACAAAAACCACGTATGATTTCAATTGGAAATTACACGTTTTCCATAAAACATTTTGCTCCTGTCGGTGTTTTACACACGTTTGTCCTACATTTGAAAATTTACATAGACATAACTTCGATTCGACAGTATGTTTCTTTGACCAAGAAAACTTCGACATTTCAAATAATCTGTATTTTTTATTAATTTTTATTTCATCTTTATCTAACAATTTTAAGTCACAAATTTAAAGGACAATCAAGCTTTTTATATAATTCCCACTTTCTAATTTAATATTTTGTCGAAGAACTTGAAACGAGTGATTTAAAAAGTAATTATTTCTACGATTCTTCAGTAATCGATGAAAACAACAATTTTCTATCTATTTTCCTATATTTTTAATTACATTTCTACAAGTATATTTATAGAATTTAATTATATTTATATTTATTTAATTATATTTTAATTATATGTATTTAATTATATTTATTATAAAATCCACATAAATGTGGATTCCGCAATTTATTTATAGAGAATATTATTAATTATGTTATAAATATTAATAACTATGTCAGACGACATCTGAGATGAAATTTATAGTATCATATTTGGCAGTTTGCCCTAATCTCTTTGGAGCAACACTGTTAATTAATCTTTATATTCTTGGAGTATTGTACAGTATCATATTCATTCAAATATTGCCGTAAATCAGATATGTACAGAACTTGATTAAGGTTTATAAATACTATTTACTATTGAAATGTTATAAAATGATGTACATAGAATTTAGAAGAGGAAGTTTTATCATATAGTCGTAATATTGATTTTTTAATTTTTAATTCATTTGCATCGTCGTGTTTCATAAACACGAGCGAATATTTTTAATAATTTATTGATCATAATATTGTCTTCAAAATGATACATTTTTTAGCTAATATACGAATAAGCTAAATTATTCTCAAATATATTAACTATAAACTGTAGACTTTCTCCGATTCTCTTTTATAATTCTTCAGATAAAGCCCTTCCATTTCCTCGTGAAAGGAATTGACATCTGGATCTTTCGTAGAACATTTTATGTTACATTTATATTTAATTTTACAATAATTTTTAATATGATCGATAGTAATTATTGATAGTAACGTTGTTGTTATCTTCAAACGTTGACTGCATCTGAGATTAAAGTTTCCTGTTTCAACGTTCAACAACACTGAACATTAAATATCTCCGATCTTCTTTTAATCAAGGAAAATGCAATAACGTTTCAAGAATTCATCTCTCGTTTTACAGATAGTATTCCAACGAGAGAAGACCTTCGGATACGAAAGAGACAATTCCCAACGGGGGAAAAAGAAGAAGAACCAAGGGAAGGAAAATGAAGATGAACTGAAAAAATTGTATCACTGCCACGTGGAGACGGTGAAACTTATGTTGAGAAGTTCCGTGTTACTCGATTTTATAATGATGTGCTTCGTGAACTAGTTCTCGCTTCAATGGGCACGCGAATTTTATTAAACCGAATAATTTTATTAAATCGAATTAAATGTTCTCTAAGCGGCGTGCTTGTTAATCGCTCTCGCGAAAGTTATTCGAAGAAGAATTTTTCCATGCATGCGATCTCACGTTCACGTTATTGATTAATGTTTGACGCCTAGAATATAAAAATGGTAATGTTTGAAAGCAGATGAGATTTATTAATAAATCGCGTCACTGGGAATTTTTGAAGCGTCCCGAACGAGTGAAGTTTAAGCAAAAAAGTAAATTCTTTAGATTTCTTTGGATTTTCAATTTCTCACTTGTTTTCCACTTTCGCTTTCCACTTTCTCGCTTCTTTCTCATCGATTTCTTTCTTCGATTCTTTAAAGCTTTACGGGTTCTCCGAGTCTTCGATTCTCCATTTTGCTTCATTTAATTCTTCTTCAGAGTTTAAAGTTTTCTAGAGCTTCTTTTTCCTTTCACTTTTAATTCTCTGGTTTCATTTCTCTCACGAGTCATTTATTTCTTACTTTCAGCTTTACGGATTTCCTGATTTTCAATTTTTTGCATTTTTCACCTTCGTTCTTTCCACATTCTAATGATATGAAAACAAATCCTATGCTCCCTATTTAAATTTTCGTAAATTTGCTAACATTCTACTTTTATTTCTACAACTTTTCTAATCTAATCTAAATTTTCTGCATTCACGATTTTCTAACTTTTCTAATTTTTGCATTTCATGCTTCTACTCTCTCAGCATTCTCGATCTTTCGTTTCCTACTTCTATTTCTTTGAATTTCCCAGATTTTTCACTTCCCATTTTAATTTTACTAGCTTTCTAATTATTCCAGTCTTTCATTTCGCTAATTTTATATTTCCCCCCTCTTATATCTTCCTAAGCTTACCTAATTTTGTATTCTTTAAGTCCCACTTTTCTGGTTTTCCATATGTCCATTTTTCTAGCTTTTCTTAATTTTCCATTTTTTCTGTTTCCATTTCCCCGCTTTACCTCGTTCCAACCTCTAGCTATAACTTCTAGTTTCTTTAACTTACCCAGAGTCCTCAAAACACAGAGAGTCCCGAACTTCTCTACCCCTCGAAACACACAAAAAGTTTCCGACATCTTCAATCTCCGAAACTTGAAAATATTTTCCAAGTTGCCTCGCTTCTCTCGCTGCTCGTTTGTTTACATTAATCCTAAACGTTCGCCGAAAGAAGGACAAATCCGCTAAAAAACAATGTGCAAGACGTTAAATAACATTTTCATCCAGAATACCATTCCGCACAAATAGTCGCAATGAAAGCCAGGTTTTATGTATTTTTGACAATTTATTCGAATATTTACATGCAAACGCAGGCGTAAAAAGTCGATACAATTCCACGGATGATCTTCCACATAATTAAACACAAAGAAATGTCATTTATTATCACGCTGTTCGCGTAATCGTCGCGTAGCCTGGCGATAAACTCGCAGAACAATTCTCCCTCGTCTTTCGTGGAAGAAAAATAGGACATTGTGCAGTGTCACGCACAGATAACACGACTCGTTGTTTTTTGTATACGTACGGTGAAATGTACAGCTGAATGAGAAACCAGGAAATATATTTTGTATAAATGTGTAGTTGCTTGTAGTTTCTTGAATATAAAAATAGAGTGAATGTCACTTTGGAAACCGTTTTGCGTCAAAAAATTGTCGATCTTTTATAACTAAACTGCAGATTTTTATGCAAAATCAGGAGATGCAAAAATAATATATATATAAAATATCCAAGACAGAGTATTTATTATAATATTTGGTAAAAGAAACAAATTTCTATTTAGGTTCTATTTCCTTAATTATGTTTCTAAACATTATCTTGTAACAATATCTCATTTGTGTTCAATGAAACAGCTGAAAAAAATCAAAATGCATAAAATTAACAGATGCAAATGAGAGACTTCAACCTTCAATTCAAATAGTAGATTTGGTCATAACAAAAATTTTTTTAACACTAATAATTTTTAAACTAATATTAAAAATTTTTTTAAACCTTTTGAATATTTTATTAAGTAAAATAGTAAAAATATCTCGTAATGACGTAAAAATAATTTCACGAATTAAATAAGCTCTGGCTGATTGTTGCACAATCTTTTTTTACAAAGCTGTAACAATTTAAACATGTGATTAGTGTAATAGAAACATTTTGAATAATAGAAACTAACGTGGACAATTTTTTAATCTATAAGATCGTGCAAAATTTTAGGGAACTCTACTGAAAAGAAACGTTATTTTTTTATTTTATTATTATTACGTATTTATAAATTAACAAATTTAAATTCTATTTAGTAATAATCATATGAAATTATATTTGTAAAATCCAATTATGTAATATCTGTTATGTTTGCACAAACAGACGTAAACATTATGGAAATGAATCTTAAGAAATTAGTAAATGATTCTTTGTTACAAGAAATATTCCTTAATTTAATTTCGTATATTATACTTCATTGTAATTAAAATTGAATTCTTCAAAGTATTGGATTAATTAAAATTCAATTTTTCAACTTTGATAACCAGACCGTGGATTTTCATGCATTTCATGCAATTTTAAAATTTCCATGAATATAATTGAAGGAATGAAACCCAAATAGAAATACATTTTATTCATATTATAATACACAATATTATAATGCACAGTCTGTCCTTGTTTAACGTTAATATTAAGACACACAGAAAATGAACATAGTGGAAACATTTTGAATCAAAATTAATTAAAATCGATGATCCTTTAATTATCCGTGTTAACAAAAAATACTCATTGACTATAAGATCTATATATTGTCCTTCATTCATTAAGATTAAATTCATTAAAACTTCAAAATTAAAATCAACTTTTAAATAAAGCAGTTGTTCTTTTGAAAAAATTAATTTGTCCAAATTATTAAAATAGAAATTTATTTCGAATTTATTTATTCGTCGAATTTATTGGTTTTACTTCTGAGAAATTCACAGGTATATCTCTATATTCTTGCGAAGGAAATGACACAATTCAAGAGATGTGATTTTCAGTCTTATCACTATAAAAATGTTGCACAGAAACAATCCTTGACCAATTATGAAAATCTTATCATCGTTAATAGATGCATATTGAGAAGTGTGTTACACTGAGTTATGTTGTTTCTTTAATTCACAAATTAATACCTACTTCTGTTCGAAATTAACTTTCTCCTGAATGAAAATATACTTTTTCGAATTGTATCACTTTTATCTACAAGACTGCAATAATAATCTCTCGGAAGCAAAACTGACTCGACTTTTCGTAT